AGGGAAGCGCTGGAAAAGCTGCCTGCTCCAAAACCTGAGGTGAGACTGACCTAAGTTGTCTCTTAAGCAGTAAACCTTGTATTATTAGAACAGAAGCTCAGTGATGAAGGTTTTCTAAATTGAACTTAAAAAGCAATCAGCAGTGATTTGTTCCTTATTTGCATAAACAAATCCAAAGACCACACCCATATTTCATTGTGAAATGTAAAATGAAAATATTGTAATCTGACTTCTCTTCACCTCCCCCTGCAGCCCACAATGGGTACTGGTGAGGCTCTGGACATTTTGTCTGGAGACTTTGTGACCATGACAGCAGGTCCTGCTGTCCATGCTCCTGTTGTCACCCCCTCAGCCCCCGCCCCAGACTACAGTTTTAAAAGGGAAGAACTCGAAAAACTGCCTGCTTCAAAACTTGAGGTGAGACTGGCCTAAATTCAGTTTAAGGGTTATACTGTTGGACGTTTGTCATGTGGTGTCCAGGGATCTACAATCAGGAATCATGTCTCTTGGTTGTTGTAGAAGGCTGCTGCTCCTCCTGCTGAAAAGAAACCCAAGATGGAGACAGTTCCTGGTGATTTCTCTCTGAGTGGCGCTATTTCATCCGTCTCTGCCACGGTACAGTTCAGCAATGTCATATGTAATCCTACAGATTTAGTTATTACTGTCTGTACAGAATGAACATTCAAAGTTGTAAAGGTGAATACAGAGATTTCAGGTGGTTTTCATTAGTTTTCACCAGATTTGTTTGTCAGTGCAGGTTAAATTCTAATGTTATTTTTACCTCATGTTAAAGCATGACCCCTTGCAGACAGTGTGAAGGAAACTTGATGTGCTGAAGTTAAGGATCATCTCAGCTTTTCCAGTAAAAAACTAGAATATTCATGAACACACACAAGTTGACTTGAGTTGCACCCATGCAGTTGGCATGCCGATATGAGAAATTATTGCTTTTAACGACAAGTAAAATGGTAATATTTAGGCTTAGTGTAAGTTAAGAATTTAGTAAGATGATAAGATTACTTTCCATAGAGCCTCTTTTTATTAACAGTTTAATGTCTTCTGTGTTGTCTGGTGCAGACACTGAAATCAGTTGCTCCTGAGGCTCAGACAGCCAAAGTAGAGAAAACTGCTGCTGGAAA